TCGGAAAGTTGGTGACCCAAGTGATTGGATGATCAATCCTTTTGCAAAGGTTGAACAAATGGGATTTTCCAAGCTTTCTGCAATACATGATCACAAACCCCTCCATGCAACATATAACATTCCACTCGTCCCTAGGGTCCTGTGTTGGATGCGGAAGAGCTAAATGTCCTAGTATCTCGTAAGGGAGCTTTATCATCCTTCGTGGGCCCTGTGACTGATCTTGCTTAGTTCCACTGGAAGACGCCCCCTTTTCAATTGAGGCCACCTGTTCAGTTCCACTGGAGGAAGTGCTTTGTTCAATTGCAAGTGAAGCAGTCATTCTTGAGATAATTCTCCTCATAACGCGCAATTGCGTACCCATCACCCTAAACCCTAAATTTGTAAAGTGCTACCCTGATTTATATAAGCCTTACCTTAATTATCTGGAATAATTGTAAGATCATATCATTCTGGGCTTCTGGCCATGTCCCGAAGGTGATGATGCAATATACGAGAAGTTTCTTTCTAGTCCCATGGATGGAACTTGCCAATGCAAAGCCTCAGTATTAACACCATGTTACTTTGTCACGAGGATTGGTGGAAAATTGTAGTGACATGGATCATATTGCTAGTTTGCAACATTAATTTTTAATGAGCTGTGCGCACTGCTGTTTCAAGAAGCGTGCAAAGAGCTCAATTCCACCTCCACTCCATCTAGAGCACCTGATCAAGCATCTCTCAACTTTATCTCCAAAATGTAAAAATTAGCAGAACTGGTAGCCGCCCTCGAGCCACGATAGTTTCTCCCCTCTCAATTCCCAACCCCTCTCTGATTCGACATAGGATATCATTATTAGTTGTTCTGTGGTGATCTACATTTCCAGAAATAAGGACTGTTGGGAGACGCTCCCTCAATGCTCGCTCAAACATGAGAAATGCTTCAATGCTCTTTGCAAAATGCCTCTTTTGCCTTTGTGAGGCAAGGGTTTTATACAAGGAAGATGGGGATATTCTGAGGACCAGAATATTCCTTCTCTCTCTCTCACTCTCTTGGTGGCCACGCCCTAACAGGACCATCTTCCAGTGAGCAAAATCCCCAAGGATGGACTTGAAAGCCAACCATCCAGCAGCTTTAGATGCCAGATAAAAAAAAAAATATTTAATATAATAATAAAAACTTTTCCATAATAAAGGCTCCCATCAAGATGGGCAGTTCTCTATGCTCTCTGGTTTACTTATGCTTGGAGCTGCATTATGAATGCCCTGGATATCTTTTCTTTTCTTAAAAACAAATAAGAGCATCCCTAAAAGCTGTTCTTATAAAAGTTTTGTGAGAGCATGAATGCGCCCCAAACATAATTTATATACAAGAGTGAGAATAATAATAATATACAGCATCATAGTTATCTTAAAGGATAGAACTAATAACAATAAATGGCATATTTGGATCCTACAGTTTATTATTAAAGTCTTATAAATAAAACTGATTTTGAAATTTTAAAATTTCAAATATTACTCATTCTTTTGTATATTCCAAGTTGTAATAAGTTTATTAATTTTGACTCTATTCACATATTATTATGTGTCATAATATTAAACATTCTTTCCAAACCATTTGATCGTATGCTTTCTCAAAGTTAAAGCCTCTAATAATTGTAATGATAAATTATTACAGATAAAAACTATAATTTAAATATCATACACCCATAATAATAATTTATACAACTATATACAGGAATTCATTATGGTTGTAAAATAATTTTGAGATTTTAAAGTTTTTAAATGATGGAAAACTAATACAAATATATTGTAAAACATAGTAAACAACATTGCATACACACATATAGTCATATATCTCATCCACTCTAGGATTGAAGATAACAGTTTATACCCATATTAATATAATTAAATCCTAATTATTTATTGTTATAGCTTTTGTATGCTACACAACAACAACAACAACAACACCAACAACAACAACAACAACAACAACAACAACAATAATAATAATAATAATATATAATTCCTTCACAAAAAAATTTTTAAAGGTCCATCAACTAATTATCTAGTTGCAAGTGTAGTTTATAGATACAAAGGTAAATAACAGTGTAAGGTAGTACATTAATAACAGTAAAGATTTAAAATTTAAAATTTACTGTTGGTTTTCTTGTTTATGTTTTTTATGACAATTATCTATCTAATATTATGGTGCTATTTTTAATTTTGTAACTTATTTTTTATATATTTTATACTCTTTACATATATTTATCATTATTATTATTAAATTTGATTCTAAATGTTCAAATTTACTTGTGTAAACACTTTGTACTATTCCATTAATCCAAATAATATCACTTCAACTTGATGGCCATGGGTGAGCACCAATTTTGCATGGTATGCCATTTCCATGTATCTCACCATTGCCATGTCAGCCAATTAATACATCACTTAATTTTTAATACATCAACAAGATTTAGGGTTTTAGTGTTTGATTAATGAGACTTTTGCTGCTGCAAGATGGAGGAGAGTGGGTGTGCCATGGAAGAAGCTTTATGCAGCAGGGATGCCCACATGTGAGGATATGATTTCATAGATGAATAAAAAAGTATATATAAAAGTTATGATCCACATAAAGTTTGCAATCATGGTAGTAGAATGACCATGTATCATGACTAATGAACTCTTATAGCCTACCATCACAACATAGGCTATCTCTCTTTTACAGAAGAATGCAATAAAACATAAATAAAGGGAACATAAACAATAAAATTCTAATCTATATTGCCACATATAACTTTAAGAAGTCTCTTGGTTGTATCTTAGCTCTTGTAATCTTTTAAATTTGGACTTCCCAAGAAATCATTTAACCCAAGGTGAAGAGTTTATGCCATACATAAGATTCATACTTTTTGAAAGAAGAGGTATTAATTCCTAAAGAACATAGAAGATTTTAAGTTGCTCTTTTTTTTAAATCTTGGGATACTTAGAGTTAAGTTAGGTTTAAATAATAATGCATTTTTGTTTATAGGCTTTTTCCTTTTGTATTTGAACCCTTACATATTGTCTATCGAGTCATTATCTTTTATTGCTTATAATCTACTATGCTTCCCTATAAATTTACATCATTGTGAATGAAAGTTAAGAGCTACATCTCTTTCAATATCCTCATTTTCTTAACACTCTACCTCTCAGGTTGAGCCTAGCCAGAGTAAATTTGATTATTAAATGTCAATCTCAATATGTAATATGATTCTTTTAGCCAACTAATAGAGTTAGACCCGAAATTTTCTTGATACAAATGTAAGCTCTTGAATTTAGACTTCCCAAAAAATCATTTAACTTAGAACTATTAAAACCCAAAGATGGTTAACCCTAAATATCCCAAAATTTTCAACTGATTAGAAAAGGGGGTACACTTCTATTCATAGGCTATTTCTTTTTATATTTGAATCTTTTGAATTATTCTTTTTGATTGCTTAAAGTTTTATGTCTGACTTACGCTCTTAAAAGAAATTACAATCCAAAACAAATAAAAAAACTTCATACTATTACATTATAAATAACTTGCAATAAGGTTCTAAATGGTGTTAGGTTTGGTCATATTCAAACTTGTTACCATAAATAAGCTGCCATATGCTAAGCGTTTTAGAAATGGGATAACTATGCAAGTCAAAAATTTACTAACAAAAAATGAATTATGTGAATGAATATGAAAAGGACTATTATATAACTTACACCCTTGAAGAAGAACAAATTTATATTACTAAATTCCAAGTACCCAAAGTGGCAAATCCATTCTCATTTAGTTTATTGTCTTACTATTATAATTATTCAATTAAGCTTATTTGCTCCCTTTGTCAATCTTTGCCTTTGACACAAGGCAATAAAAACTTCTGGAAATGATTCCACTTCTTATTACCATTCTATATTCCTTGGTGCTCCCATAGCAAATTGTATTATAAATGTGGGTAGTGAGTGTAGGGAGGACTTTTGCTTGATATGAGCAGATGGTCATCCCAACCCCCACCCTTCCCCAATGAAAATGAACACTAAATTAATTCACTTCAAGTTTAGAAAGTTTAAAAATTAATAAACATGTTTATAAGTATAAATATAGGTTTAATCTAATTACATACAACACATTAGATCATGAATATATTAATATATTTGGAGATAATTTACAAATTATATCAAAATATACTAGATATTCTAGGTATCTCCACTAGACTATTATATAAGGATTTTAAATGATCATATTTTTATGCAAAAGTTCCAGCAAAATCATGTTTCTATCATTTTATAGCACTAATATTGACGAAATTTCCATAGTATTTGTTGCCTGGACACTCATTCTCTAGCACACCATTCTCATTCATTTGCAATGCAAAGTAGCAAAAATAAAATATTATATATATTCATAGATAATATTTTCTATATTTATAAATATTTATTGTTTTTACCAAATCAAAATAAAGATAGTTAAAGCCAAGATTGCAATAGTTTTATTGTTTCCTTCATTTGATGTTTCAAGTACGTATATAAAGTGCTAATCGTTTTAAGATTGGGGTTTTTGGGGAAGAGAGAGGCGAGAGCCTGCCATCCTCTTTGCAGTGATCTTTTCTTCTCTGGTTGTGTACGTTGCAATGTGGTCCGTTTCGGTGGTTGAGCTCGTCGGGGAAGACAACTTTACGGTGATTCCTCGCGCGTTTGTGAAGCCGATCCACGCTGTGGCGGAGGAGAAGGAGAACAAGAACGATCCACTTGTTTTCCTCTCAGGTAAGAACCTTGCCCGCCCAGCTTGCTTTCTTTCTCAAAGATCCGTCATTCTTTCTCAAAGATCTTCCCATCTTTCTCGGCTTTCTCGATCTTTCGTCTTTTAGCGCCACCGCCAGCACCGCCGTCGCCATCTCCACCACCGCCGCCGCCATCTCCGCCACCGCCCCCGCCATCTCCTCCACCACCGCCTGTGGAGTCCCCGCCGCCGCCACTACCGCCGGGATTGAAACGTCGACGCATCCGCGATGGATTGCGAGGCGCGGCTGAGGATACGAGAGCCAGTCGCAACACTCTTCAAGGTTGGTATCTTACTTCTCGTTCCTCTCATTACTTCTCATTTCTATCTTCTCAGAGGTTCGTCTGCATCGCGAGGCAGAAATTCAAGGAAGAAGCTCCGAACTTTCTCATATGGCTTCAGATAAAGTTCATCCTCTCCCAGAATGAGAAGCCTATCCAGCTTCATCTCGATCAGTGAGTCTTTCGTTTCTTTTCTTTTTTTTTTTCCTTTCTTGTATCACTCACATTTCTTCAGTTTTGCAAGGCTCCTCCACCTCTCGTCCTTCCACGACGAGCTCCGTGCTGTTGGCAGAGACACCGAGTGCCACGGCGTTCTTGCCGATATCGAGAGCATGTTGGATCTTCGCGCGTCACCCTCACCCTCCCTGAGCTGACCTCTTAGACTCGCGGTTTTTTTTCGTGTTTTTTCTGACCGAGGTTTCATTTTCCTTTTGCTTTGCTCAAGCAAAAGTGTGTTTCAGCCTTTCGGTCTCTTTCGCGTAAAGGATTTCTACGTTGGAATACATATCTTCTTTTCGAAGGTCCTCTGATCAGGTGTTTATTCAGATCGGGCGTTCTCCAGGGAGTTTGTCTTCCTTCGCTTATTTTATTACGCAGCTTACAAAATCGTGGTATCTAGGAACATAAGCGTTTTGGGGCATCGAGAAAGGAAGCTTGCGTCCAAGCTCCTGGATCTCACTTTCACCTTCATGACAAGGAAAGTAACTGAGCTGAGCGGAGGCTAGAGCAATACACAGTTCTTCAGCAGCTCGACGAACGTGTAGCGAATTTCGATCAGCATCCCCCCGTGTTCCAGGCTACTATACTTGCAATCTTTGATGATGTTAGCAATCAGGATCTTCTCGTTCGTCTGACGATTTCTCCTTTGAGAGTGTGCTCCAAGATCGCCTGCTCATCACAACAGGACGGAGAATGAGCTTTACATTGTCTAGTGTTGTTAACTAAAGGCATATTCTACTAAAAAGGATTTATATTTCAACCGTTAGATTTAGAAATATCCTTGAAATATTTGTAGAATATTGTTTCTATACCTTAAATTTCAAAAGTTAGCCCTAGATCCACCGGTCTGGGAAATCGACAGGAACGAGTCAATCCGCTCCCGAAGATCTGGTGTAAATCGCAGGCCTGGATTAGAGCACTTGATCCGAGCAGAGGATGCCGCGGCCGCTCTGTGACTATCACAGAAGAAAAGATGGTGAGCCCCCGAGTCAATGACTAGGAGCAAGAGCGCGAACGCTGCGAAGAAAGCCATTGCGTTGAGATCCTGGAAAGAAAAATTCTTGAGACGAAATATCAAGAGTTTGGGGTTTATAACCCGTCATCACTTCCTTGTCTTGTCACTGCTGGTGGCAGATCGAAGCTTAGTGTAGGGGACGCTTCGATTTGCAGGGTTTTAACAATAAATTGGGTTTAAACTGTAACTCTTATACTTCGACCAATCCATCGATCCCAAGGCAAATGGCATCTGTCCAGTAAAGCTCAAGCAAAGTCCTCTTTCTTTTTCTCTCTGCTCACAGATATGTTACTCCTAGCCAGATTATCAACAGCGGCAACAAAAGATTTCTACTGCGGCAATTTACTAGATACTCAACACCTTCCGCCCTGCAGTGAACAAAGGGTTTATCTATTCGATCTTTTGCGAGCTGGCGGCATTCGATCTGGGAGCACAGTATTTGTTTTTCTTTCACATTATATCGAGATAACATTGCTCCATTTCTATAATCGAACTCTGCGTTTTCTTCCGGCTCATTGCCTCTCAAAGCCTTTTGCAGTCATCAGACATATGAAAGGGGAGTGACTGTGTGTTGTTCGCTGGTCTAAAAGAAATTTCTAGGTGGAGTTGTCCCGAAGGTGATGCTACAACTTTTTATCATCACAACTCGAAAGTAAAAATTTCTTTCTAGTGCTTTTCAATCTATTTTTTCTCATGGATGGAACTTAGCAGCATTTCACGTCGTCATTGCAGGATCGAAAGCAACCTCAATTTCATCGTTTGGCATTGGCATAAAATTGTAGCGATATACTAGTTTGCACATGGGCATAGACAATACATGGTCAGTAAGTAATTTTCAATGAGCAAGTGTGCAGAGAGTTTGAAATTCCACCTACCTGGTCAACACGAAACAAAGCATCTCTCAAACCTCTCTTGAAATTCCAAATTTGATGGGAGTCGTAATCTTCCTTTATTCGTTTGCTTGTGTGGTTTTCTTCTGCTTTTCGTTCTGGATGTCTCATCTTCCTTTAGTGAGATCGAATAAGATGTTTCTTGTAAGTGTGTGAATGAAATGTTCTTTTGGCGATTCTCCTTGAGAGAGAGCGAGAGAGCGAGAAGCAGGCGGCCACAAATGTATTAAAATTTTTGTGCTCATCAAATTTCAAGTTTTCTTCCTGCATAACACCTCTCAGAATCATCGAGATTCAGGCGAAGCCCAGGCAGCCTTGTGCTAAAAATGAAGGAGTAAGGCTACGTTCCTGAACCACACCAGCAGTACGATTTCTAGCGAGGAGAAGGGGACGCTCTCTGACAGCGAAACGCTAGAGACTGCTTCCGCGCGGATCAACACGGCCCCATGCGCGACTATTAGAGTGATCAAGAATCTCTTGACACTCAGTTAATGGCAGTTTTGGAAAGAACATCAAATCGTAACACAGGTATTATCCCATCGAAAACACTGTCTTGAGTTTTGATTTTCGCAGATCGAGCTACGACTAATGGCCACTTTTCTGGGGATGAAGTTCTTCTTTCATGCTTCGCAGACCAACTGGGGATCTGCTTCGAATGATGACGGCCAAATGCACCGGCCAACCTGAAACCTCTCCTCGGAGAAACAGTGCTGGATGGGCATCAATAGCTTGGCTGAAAGGTGGAATGCACAGTTCTAGAAAAAACCAATGATTCCAAACGGGCTGTATTTGTCAAGTACCTTTATACTAAAACTTTGATTCTCAGGCAGCCAACCTTGATCAATGACCTTGATAGTTTTTTCCCGTCTCCAAAGGTTGTCAATTAGGCAGCTTGGCAGACTAGAAGTTAACTCCTCCAGACATTTTCTAAAGAATTATAAAACTTTTTTGTCGACTTTTATTTTCAATTTTTGAATGTAATCCACATTTTTTAAGGAATACTAAAAGGAATATTTAAGGAAAACCGACTAAAAATAAATATTAAACGTAGCTAGTCTTAATGAAATTATCATGTATAAATATAAATAAATGAATTGCTGGTAATTATTGAAAATACAAGTTTTTTCCAAAGGAATTGTCCATGATGAAGCAGATACAAACATTGATTATGTAATCTCAGGAAACATTTTTTTAAAAAGAGTTATGCATCTGATCCACCCCACTAGCAGTATCCATGTATGCAGCTGAGGCAGCACTATCTGGCAAGATAGTTTTTTTATTATTATTTTTATTGTTTTGACTCAAGTTTGGTGGGTATTACTACTTTATTTAGAGCGTTTTTATATGGATAAATTCTCCATTTTTATATCTAAATTCTTTTATAAAGACCAACAAAATTACCTTATCTTCTTGTATACAAACATTTCCATTTTATAGCAGCTTGTTTGGGTCTAAGTATAAATACATATTCAATTAATAATCCAATATAAGTTATATTACCAACTTGCAAATTAACATCTTTTTCAAATACTCTATAAAAGTGAATTGAAATTTTAATATATAATAGTTTACTGTGTTGGTAATATATATATATATATATATATATATATATATATATATATTTGTGTGTGTTTGTATATGCATTTCCATTTATAAATATAATATTTAAAAATAGTTTGAAACTTTTAAATTTCCTCTAGCTTGTACTATATAAACTCATGAACAATTGAAAAACATAGTAGATAGGGTGAGATATGAATATAAGCTACAATAGATGTGTAAAAAATTCAAAGATCCCAAAAATCTCAAAGATGGAGGATAAGAGTGGGAAGCAATGGGGAGTGAGAGTTATACCCCACCGCATCCTATAAAGATTTATATTTACCAACATTGCTTGAAATGAGTGTTTATTTTGTTGTTTATGAGCATATTGAGTATGGCTTAGATGCAAATGTGCTTATATTCATTCTGTGGATGTGGGTTCTTTTGTGGATGCAAGCTACTACAATGTGTTCTGATGTTGGGTTAAGTAAACATGCTTATTTCATGTTATGAGGCTGCCATTAGCAAGGAAAGAGTAATTAGACTATGTTAGTAAGAAATCAAGGAAGCATTGTCAGCCTGACATGTTGGGTATTCCACACCACATAGTTTGAATGATAAGTAAATCAGTTTGCATTTTTGGTATTAGAGGAATTGTGTGATGATTCATGTATATAGAGAGAGAATTAATTTCTGGAATGTGAGTTTCTTTACCTCAATACTATTGCAGCATCTTCTTAAAGAGTTAAATGTACAAAAATGGTCATTAGCAAATTTGATATTCAATACTGGGTGAATTTTTTACAAAACCTTATAAGTGGAGATAAGTTGATATTGCTAAAGTGGAGTGCTCCTAAGGAAAAATAACCATCTCTAGTGAGTGCTAAGGAAAAATATGCCTAAAAAAGGGTGGTGTAAGCAAGTAGGGCAAGCTTAAAATCTGAAAAAGGAGGGGTGAATTTTCCCTAAGTGAGAGATTATGTGGAAGGAAACTCCACAAACACTAAAAGGAGTGAGTATAAGAAAACCATTTCTGCCTAAAGACTTGAGCTTTCTTACACTCTGATACTAATTGTCATTATGGTTGTTTTAAGGTTCATCCTTAGTACTGTCATTGCTTTCCATCACACCACCCATTTACTCTTTATTTCTTGCTAAAGCCCTTTTTGGTATTTTATCTCACACACTTGATACAATGGTTTCTATCCCTCATGAAAACTGCTCCACCCTAAGATTATTGCTAATCACCCACTAATTAATTACACTTAGTCAAAAACAAAGGGAAATCCATGATTTTGACTTTATCTCGGTTGTGGGCACACTTTAGCCCCTTGACATCATCCTGGCAATGTATATGCTCTATCCAAGAGCATCTCATACTTCAAAACCTCTTGAATAAACTTGGTGTTTTAAGATTTATGCCTCCTTTTTCTTTTTGCTAACTTTATGTAGGAGTAGTCTGATTTTCTCTTCAGTGTTTCCTCTCTTCTCATTATTTAATATCTTCCACACCAGAACAAAATCTTGGGGAAGGTTTGACACTTATTCTTCTCCTACTCTCTATGCACACTGTTCATTTCCAAGTAGTGCACTAGAAATGTGGAGGGAAACTCCACGAATACTAAGATGAGTGAGCATAGAAAAACCATTACTACCTAGAAACTTGAGTTTCCTTACACTCTAGTGTTAATTGTCACTACAGCCATTTAATGTTTTGTTCTTCTTAGCACCAGCCCCCTCAGCAGTGCTATTATTGCTTTTCATCACACGACCTATTTGCTCTTTGCTTCCCGCCAAAATTTTTTATTTTATCTCACACTTGATACAATAGTCTCCATTTCTCATGATGGAAAATTACTCCAAGGGTCACAACCCTAGAATTAATGCTAAACCCCCACTAATTAATCATATTTAGTCTAAAACAAAGGGAAATCCATGATCTTGACTTTTTCTCAGTTGTGGGCATACTCTAGCCCCTTGACAGATTCCATGGAAAGATCACATTTGGCACAAGCTAAAGATTAGGTAGTAAAGTGGTGGTAACTAATCTTTCTAAGATGACTTTAAAGACATTCTATTGGATATAGACATAAAGGATTCTTACTATTCTTTGGAAGAACCCAAGAGATAAATTCATCTCAAATTGTTTGAGGTTAAAAAAGTGCAAAGTTTAGCTTTTATAGGATTGGTAGGGAGGAGCTCTGACTCATTCAAGACTGTAGAAGAAATCCTTCTAAAATTTATTTATGAATTTTGTATGATGATCACTAACAATATCTAACTTCTTAGTAGTAATAGTACCTATAAAGACCTTATGGTTTGGGTGTTATTCTAAAATTTAGTAGTGTTGTATTAATCATCCTCAAATGGATGGGCAAATAAAAATGTTAATAGAAAACATATTATGTACTAGTATTGGTGAGAAGCTAAGAAAGTGGGATTTATTTATGTCTTTGGCAGAGTTTAATATAATAATAACACTACTATAACACAATTTTTTTTGTTATATATAGACAACATCTTTGAATACTAATTGATGTTTGTATTCATTAGGTAGATTTTGTAAATATGGATATCAATGCTAAAAATTTGATAGTAGAATTAAATGAGATTCTACATGATTGTCAAAACAATCTTATGAAAGCTCAAGATAGTTAATGAAGTTATGCCATATGAGCATAAAAACTTTTGTCATTATCACATGGATATTAAAGCATATATGGGTTTTTCATTTACTCTCTTAAATACTTGCATTACTTCCTTATAAAAAGTTATAAACAACTAAAGAGAATGATTTAAAATATGATTTATTAGAGTTCAAATATAGAAATAAAGGAGTGCACACTTTTTTTCACCTGGTTAAAGTCCATATATGGGGTTAAGACCATAGAAGCTTTATACCTCTGCACCTCTCTTAAGACTTTAGTGTAAATAACCAAAGATAACAATTTAAAAGATAATCTATAAAGTTTAAATATAGGAGGGAAAGGGTTAATGAATAAAATAGTTAAAGGTATTGGGATATTTTAAATTTAACATTCTTAGGTTTGAATAATATTGGGTTGGGTGACTTCTTAGAGTTGGTTTTAGATTTGACTCAATTAATTAGCTAAGGGAATTATACCATATGTTAAAATTTACATTTGGCAGACGACATAATACATAATAGATTATTAAACCATAATGCAATAGATTTAATAATAAAGTGAAAGGTTATCACTCTTCCCTTTTGTAAGTTTTAAAATTTGAACTTCCTAGAAAAGGCTCCTGAGGACAAGAATTTCGCCATGTGGATTAAGGCATATAAAGTGGCATGACTAAGTATATATCAAAATTTTAAGAATCTTAAAGCTAGGAAGCTATAGGAACAAAGGTTAAATCAAATAACAAAGGTTAGGCCAAACTTCACACCTCCTCTTGGAGATTTTACATTTATTAGCCATTTTTGAAGTGTGATTTAAAGTAGATAGCATCACATTTTTTCTTGTGATGTGGGTTTTTTAAAATTTCTTTTTGAATAAGAAGTGTGTTTCTTTTAGTGTCTCAAATATATGAGTGAGGGTGTTTGGAAATCCCATATCACATCTGTAATGTACTATAAGGCTAGATGACACACATGCTTATTTCATGTCATGAGGCCACCACTAATAATTACAGAGTGACTGTCTATGCCGGTGAAAGATCAAAGAAGCATCCCTAGGCTGATATATCAAATATTTCACATCACATGGCTTAAGTGACAAGTTCAATAAGTGAAGTTAGTACAACTCAAATCTTCACTACTCCTAAGCTCAAATGTTAGTGCTCAGCTCAAATCCCTACAGTGTAGATATCTTGGCTCTGGCTGCCATAGAAGCTTGTATAAAAAATGAACAAAAAAACATGGAAACATCAAAGCATTTTTTTTCTCTGATAGCTCTCACTAGAAAGATGAGAGATTTTTTCTAGAAGGGAACTAAGTTGCTCAAGCTTTTGCTTTAGGACATGTGTTTCATTTATTCTATTTATATTATTAAAGGAGATGACACTTGTCAAGGGGCTAGAGTGTGCTCATGATTGAGACAAAATCAAGATCATGGGTTTCTCTTTGTTTTAGACTATATGTGATTAATTAATGGGGGATTAGAAATAATCCTAGGGCTGTCATCGTGCAGGGTGGAAAACCCTTGTATTAAGTGTGGGAGCTGAAATAAAAAAAGAGGCAGCAATGGTTTTTCCATGCTCACTCGTTTTAGTGCCTCCACAACACCTTTGCAAATTTGTTCCACTTGGAACTTCACTTTGTCAATGACTCTGTAAGCTCAAAAGAAGTTTGAGTTCGGAGGAGCACTCTTCTCGCCCAGCCTGGGAAGAATGTCTTCTAGGAGGATCAAAGCATTACAACCATGCAAAAGAAGTTGTTATTCCATCTTTTCGATCAACTCAAGGCCCTTCAAACCTTACCATGACAAAGAAGTCGTGAAAATGTAGGTGAAGGAGTGAAGCTGCGATTGGGCTCATCCTGGGCGAACTTATTTGCAGTCTTGCGCACTGTGGTCTCGAGATTGGAATCCTGGTAGAAATTCAGAGTGAGGTGTCTTCCAGTCTCCAATCAATCACTGCCATGAGCAAGACTGCTCGATCCATAGCTCTTGTGACCATCGTCGTAACGGACCAAGGAATGAGAGATGGTCCAATTTCATACAATCACACCCGCTGTCGTCAAGGATCGCCTCTATACCTTCATGGGAACCGGGCAGCTGCATCCAGCGCTGGACAAGGATTTGCTCCAATCCCTCCGTGAATCCTCGAGAGATGAGAATTTCTCCCCTCGACCCCTCTCCGATGCAGAACGAAAGGGAGGAGCGATCGATCTCAACAGGGAAAAACCTAAACAGCTTCATCTATTTATAATTGACCTTGCAAATTTAATGAGGATTAATGGCTTTATTCTTTAGTCTCCAGCAACAATCTTGCAGCGAAATTGATCAGCAAAAATCTATAATACGCTTCGATCTGAGACCGTTCGATTCCGGCAGGGTTTTAACGATAAACTGGGTTTAAACCCTAACTCTAATGTACTCCCCTCTTCCAGAGAGAAAGAAAGGAGGAGCGATCGATCGATCCCAGCGCAATGGCGCTTGTCCTCGTGCGCTCCACGGCAGTGCTCGCGCTTCTGCTTCTTCTAGTGATCTGCATTGAGTCGACATCGCGCGGGGGAGTTCAAAATCCGGTAAAGCTCGAGCAAAGTCCTTTTTCTTTTCCTCTCTGCTCACAGATATATCGCTCCTGGCAGATCATCGGCAGCGGCAACAGAAGATTTCTACTCCGGGAATCGATATCTGCGAGCTTCTCAACGCCCTTCCACTTGGGCTGCCCTGCGGGCAATTGCCGCAGCATGCAAGCCTCGGTGCCTCACGATTCCTTCGCGGCCTCCGACCGACTAGTGCCCTCCGGCCCGGATCCTCTGCATCATCGGATCAGAGTCCACAATTGAGGCGTTCTCTTCTTCTCTTCCTTCTGGGGATCTCATCTCCCTCGAGTAGCTGCAGCCTTTCTCTCTCGCCACGAGTGATCAGTTTTGGACAGAATGAGACGCTGCTCTCCATGGGTGTGATCAGGAAAAATCTTTGGCTTGTCCTTGGGAATTCGCTGCTCGTCCTTGAGGGGGAAGTTAATTCGAACTGTCGCGCAGGCAGCCACGGTGTGTTAATAATATCTGTGTCCTTTTGGAGACGCTGTTGCTCATCAATGGCACCGAAATTTTCCCCAAGCAAGTTTCTTTCTTTTCTCTCTCTCTCTCTCTCTCTCTCTCACGTCTTTGCAGGGCGCCGCAGTTTCTTTTAAGTGCTAGATCTCTTTTAGAGCCAAGCTCTTCAAGATCGTCAGGAGATTCTTCACACTGTTATGTGTCGCAGGGATTATAAGCGACACATGATCGTGATCTCAGTTGATCAAAGGCTGATCATACATCGCCTGGTCCTTTGTCGAGGAACTTGGTTCTTTCAGGTACCTTGAATCCATTGATTATTTAATTAACGCAGGTATCTACCTAGAACAGAGAGTTTTTTGCTTTGCTGTAGAGAGAGTGTTTGTTGTTTGTTCCTTTCCATTTGGACCTTGCGCTCACCAGTTTGTGCGCTCGTCAGTGGAGATAGATTATAAGATTAGCAGTAACCATCCATCCAGTCCTCTACCTAGCGTTCCTAGATCGATACGAATTTTCTTCCTCGCGAGTTTTTCTCCTAATTCCCTCGTTTTTTCTCTCATGCTTTTGTGATTAGCCTTTAAGTGTGTGTCTTTAGCTGTTTTATTCGTTGTCCGTTGGAATCCAAACGTGACAAACAGGGAGCGATAGAAAATCTATTCCCTTGATATTTGCCTGGTGCCTGCTAGCTGCTTAACAAACTCACTGTGCTACTCGCAGGCCAGGCATCATTCCTTGGTTGGATTGGAAAAAAGAAAACCAAAGCTTGCCAACACTGATAGAGAAAGATGGAGCCAAAAAAAATGGAGAGAAAGGGATGGGCGTGTCCTTGTTAAAGGTACCAATCTAAACCAAGATCCCCGGTGTGGACCACGACGCGCAGTACTCTTATGATACCACGGTACGTCGGCATCCTGTAAGTAGATAAAAAGCTTTATATTCTTTCGCAGCGTTTGCGTGCGTATGTTGGTAAGCTGGGCTCCGTACGGCCGTGTTGGGGAAGGACACGACTATTTGAATACGTCCACATGGGCTATAAAAATACGAGAAGCATATCTTGTATTGATGAATCGAACAGGAGTATGCGTCTCCATTGTCCGTGCAGTGTTGTGATAGAATATATATCGCGGCTTATAACGTTGGAATTTCAAATAGTTCTTACAGAGCGGAGCTTGATCGCCAAGAATGCCGATCATTTTGGTTCTTGTTGTTTATTAGGGGAATCATGCGACTGTGATGGACTTTGGTCCGTGGATTCGCGCTCTTAGTTGTGATGACTGTTATGAGAAGTTTGCGTGACTTGAGAACCTCTAATGATGCTGCGGCAGCAAATCAAATGACTACGAAAACGGTGGCATGTAACGTACACTTGAGAGGGCGTGCCTTTCGGCTGTCGTGATAGATAGTACGTATTCGCGTTATTTTGGTCGAAGGGTCGTTTCTAGACATTACTTAGTGGCGCGGTGACAAAGGCTTTAAAGGTGATGGAGAACGTTTTGTTTGTTTGACGATCCCTTTTATTCTCAACACAAGCTAGAAGAAGAATGTCAACTTTCGAGTATCCTGTGAATGCTTTCGCTCAAATAAATAAAAGTAATAAAGCTGTTTTCTCCACATTTATTTATTTACTGATATGCTTTAAGCAAACAAGTAGTGGATACCTAGAATATGCTTGGATATTCTAGGACATTCTAATTTAACGATTGTTATTTATTTAGATTGATTTTGTATTAATAATTTATAAACTTTCTTAAATACTTCCTAACGAGATTCCCAGGTGCCTTGACAGTTACACCACCTGCTTGAGCAGCCATTGACAAGCTGTCCTTTCCACCTCATTTTAGTTTATTCTACCATCTAATGGTTGATATGTACTAATATTAATCTTGTGTTTATAAATTATAAACATACCAAGAGTTGCTACATACAATGTGCAGAAAATTATTAATTTTTTATGTAGATCTTGGTTTAAAAAATTACAAATACCTATGTTTTATAATAAGATATAAATTGTTTTTTTCTTTATTATTTGAAGGAAGAGATTTTTAATTTCTCTAGAAATTTATATATTTTAAAGGAAAATGACTTTTAGGTCCATAAAAATAAAAACAAAAGGTTATTATAAATAAAATAATAGGGTATTTAAAGGTTTCTTTAAATATATTACTGATAAATTGTTTTCTATGGCTTTGGGTTTTATTCAGTCATAGTTGTCAGCAACTTTGTTAGTGGTTTTATGGGAGCTTTAGATTCTTATGGATCTACATGTATAGAAAGCTATTTTATCATGGCAAATTCTATATAATAATTTTATAGAAAAATAATTCTTATTTTATATCAGAAAATAAAATAAAATTCAAGCTTGAATTCCCACATTTAGTTCTAATGTTCTTTACATATATGATACAAGATAGATGGCATTTTTACAAGGTATACATAGTATCATTATTGAGGTATTTGTTTTCTTTGTCTTTTAGTTCTAATGTTCTTGACATATATGATACAAGATAAATGGTATCATTGAGGTATTTGTTTTCTTTGTCGTCTGGGTGAAGATATCTCTGTGCTAGTTAAGATAAAAATTAATAATGTGGCTGCTGGGATTCGAGCCCAGGTCTCCACGGCCACAACGTGGAATTCTTACCACTAAACTACAGCCACATGACTTATCAATCATAGACTAATCATAGTAAAGTAAATTAAAACTATCAACGTTAACATTGTGGTTTAATTTGAATTAAAAGACGAGGGTTTTAGCTTCTTTAGGCGAGAGAATGGATCTTGGCGCCACGACAGAAGCGCTCGAGGAGGCGAAGGGAAGGCAGAAAATTCTGGAATGCCGTGCAGTGGTGCACCGGATCCACGGCGTCGCAAGGCATCTCCGCATGGATTACTCTCTCTTCGATCTCGGCTGCGGCAAAGATGGGAGCTTCCTCCACGCCGCGCCTTGTTGCAATCCATCATGCGAGGGTGTAGGAGCGATCGAATGCTCCGGCTGCCAGATCGCCGTCTACTGCGGCGAAATCTGCCGAGAAATCCACGCCAGGGCTCATCGCCGGGCGTGTGGCAACGCATCGGGGCGCCGAACCGGCTGCCCTGTGGTGAAGCCCTCGATTTTCCTCTGGGCCAATGTCCCGGCACATTGCCTGATTGATCCAGCGGAGATCTCTCGCAGCGGCGACTGCGTGGTGGAGCTCTGCATTGCGGCCTCGGGAGATCTTCGCGATCTCTTCCACACCACGGACGACTTCACTGGTAAGAACTATAGGTAGAAAGAGCTTCCTTTGCTTCTTTCTTCTTTTTCTTCTTCGTCTAGGCCTAATTGCTTCTCCCGGTCGTTTAGACGCGAAAGGCTAGTCTTTTTTCTTCTTTCTTTTGTTTCTTTCGTCCTGGTTTGCAACGCTCTTTAGTTTCTCTGGGTTTCTTCTTCGTCTTTGCTTCTCCGGTCGTTTAGACACAGAAGGCTATACTTTTTTCTTCTTCCTTTGATTTGCACTCCTTCGTCCTGGTTTACAGCGCTCTATGGTTTTCATACTTTTCTCCGTTCCTCATTTTATCTTCTAGATCCTTGGTTTTGCTTTTTTTTCTTCAGAAAACTAGAACGAGGATTATACTTACATAGCTTGTTTCTACATTGCAGGGAAGAAAATCATCGCCCTCGTCAACGATTACAACAGCCAAGTTGTAGCCCGGAACTTTATGATCCTGGAGATGCTTCGTGTGCATGGCGATGCTGGGATCGAGGCCGCCATAGCTCTCTGGTATTCATTCGTGATGACCGAGCCCCAAAACCTGGCTTGCAAGGTCGCGGCCTACGACGCTCTCGAGCGGTGTGGATACTTGTCGCGCTCGGCCATCCAGATCGTTCGCATGGGCCTCTTCTCGGACCAAACCGGACCTGTGCTGGAAGCGGCCTTTTCCACCTCGGGCTCACGCTCCAAGCTTTCTATCGAGATGGAGGACAGCTCTTGGGGATTAATCATGGCCTATGTCATCGCAGAACTCAAGCCACGCGACGTGGAGATCGCGAGGGAGAAATCCATGACCGACTTCCGTGAGAGCCTTGCCTACAGCACTGGGAAGCTCCTCCCATTTTCCTGCATCAACAACGAGATGCGCTTCTCCAGCGGCAACAACTTCTTGCTCGACGAAGCTGGCTGCTGGACGCAGATGAGCTCTGCGGATCCAATGCTCGGCTGGGACTTCGCGGAGGTGATGAGCTCAGGACGGGAAGCCGGAGCCGGATCCAAGGACTTGTATGGATCGCTCTTCTTCCACCTCAAGAAGCTCATGGAGAGGTTCCTGTCGCTGGTCCGGCGCTGCGACGTAGAGATCCGGCTATCCAGGCTCGATGCTTGCGAGCTTGCCAGGCGGCTCAAGAAAAGTGGCAGCGAGTTCCACGCCATCTCGACGTCCAACATCTGCGACGCAAACTACGTGGGATTCGAGAGTCTGCTGCATGACTTCGCGCCGCTGCTACGCAAAAACGGGACCCTGGTAACCTCCAGCATGAACTGGATCACCGGGCCAGACACGAGAATGGAGGGGTTGACGAGCATCAGCGCGGTGCTGGATTGCCTGGGGATGAGCAGAAAGAAGGCCAACAAGGTGATCTTGAGGTTATGACGCAATCTATGACATGATCTTGTGTGGCTCCCATTCTTTTCAGGTGATCATGGATCATCTCAAGGAGACAGCGAAGCGAGAGACAGGTCCTGCAGGAGGAACTGTGATTTTCAACGTTCCGGTTGAAAGCCCCGCCTACTTTGTGAGAACGGACAAGGCTTTCGAGAGGTGGATGAAGAAGACGGGCGTGTTCAGGGTGGCGGACAAGGCCGGCTTGGCTGCCAGGAAGAGGAATCGGCTGGTGCCGTGCCGGCTCTTCGTTCCAGTCGGTGCTCCCGCCAGTGCCGTCCCCGCGGATTTCTCGAGCAAGAAGGAGATGGAGCACCATCTCGGTCGCATGAACACCTTCCTGGATCGCTCCATCGAGTGGGTGCGCAAGAAGGCTTGAAAATCGATCGAATCCATCGGTAACTTGAATCGACCCAGTCGCTACATCCTTTTAATCCTTTGTGCTTTTCAGGAAAAAGTGCCTCATCTTTTTGGAATTGTTAAAACAAAAAAGGAAAAAAACGTGGCATTCTCAGAATATTCGCGTCGTTCGCGTCATTAGTTTCAGACTTCCACGTGGACGAATCGAGGCGGGCATATTCTTTACGTTTGAAATGAGAACCCCTAACAGAGCATATCCACTTTGATGCGCGAGGAAGGATCGATCATGGATGCCGATGAGCGTGCAGCAGCAGCGGCGGCGGCGGCGGCAGCAGCAGCAGCAGCTGCCATTCCTAATCCAGCTCCAGAATCGGGCAGTGATTTAGAGAGATCGTCTAGCGAAAATCTCGAGGTCTGTGCTTCCCCCCTTTTGTTTTCTCTCTTTCTCTCCCGATTGGATCGATCGAGAGCTTGCTGCTTCTCAGTCTGCATGCTCTCGTGGCTAGATTGCGTCGGCTGCGGGCCCGATTTTCGCCGATGGGGTTTCTATGCATGTTTAGGGCGCCATTGTTCTAACTTTCTTCTTTGTTTATTTTTTTCTCCTTTGTTTTAGGACTCACGCTTGAAATTGGAGATGCGTAGTCTCTTGACCTCTGAATTTACCAAGGATGGCTCCGTGGATTCGCTTGGAAGGCCATCGGTCCGCCGAAAAACCGGTGGATGGAGAGCTTGTCCATTTATCCTTGGTATGCTCGTTCTTACATGTAGCAAAAACTATCTCCCTCTTGTTTTTTCTACTATTTAACAGGAAACGAATGTAGCGAAAGATTAGCATTCTATGGCATCAACACCAACTTGGTGACTTATTTGATCAAAGAATATCACCAGGGCAATGCGATGGCTGCGAAGAACGTGACAATCTGGTCAGGCACCGGGTACGTAACTCCCATTCTCGGAGCTTTTCTAGCTGATGCCTACTGGGGACGCTACCGCACCATTGCAGTCTTTTCATCCTTATACCTGGTGGTGAGTTTTGGTTTTAGTTTTTTTCTTTTGAAATAGATGTTTTGCTGTTTTTGCTTGCAGGGACTGATACTTCTTACGTTGTCAGCCTCATTACCTTCATTGAAACCTCCATCCTGTGACAAGATGTCTTGTCAACATGCCTCGCTGGGGCAGCTTATATTCTTTTACGTGTCACTCTATTTTGTGGCTTTAGGAATGGGAGGTATCAAACCTTGTATCTCGGCTTTTGGTGCCGACCAATTCGACAACAGTGACCCCGTAGAGAGGAAGAACAAGGGCCATTTTTTCAACTGGTTTTACTTGTCAATCAACGTTGGAGGACTTGTTGCAACTACGTGCCTTGTTTATATCCAGGACAACACCAGCTGGGCCTTGGGATTTGGCATCCCGGCCGCGTGCATGGCCGTTTCTATCGGTTCCTTCCTCCTGGGATCTCCGCTTTATCGCCACCAGAGACCACAAGGAAGTCCACTCGTGAGAGTGGCGCAAGTTCTCGTTGCTGCATTTCGAAAGTGCTTCGTGCAAGTTCCAGCTGACAAGGAGCTATTACACGGTAGCAAAGAGAGTAATGGATCTAGCATCAGCGGCAGCTTCAGGCAAGTTTACTTTAAAACTCTTGTGAACTCTGGGCTGCTTTCTTGGAAGTGATCCTGACAAGATCGCTGTGCATTTGATAAGCTTAGCTTGCCATGACAAGGAGCAGAGAAAGCTTCCAAGATACTCAAGGTCCGGCTAAAGGGACTGTAGACTAGTCACAAGTTTTTTCTTTCTCTAACGAGCTTGGGACTGATGTTTTACATGCAGGTTCCTTGACAAAGCAGCAGTGAACACCGGCTCGAAGAAAGGAACTTTACCGGGACCCTGGAAGCTATGCCCCGTATCGCAGGTGGACGAAGTGAAAACTCTCCTGAGGATACTTCCGATCTGGGCGACACTGATTATCTTCACGACAGTCTACTCACAGATCTCAACCACTTTCATCGAGCAGGGATCCAGAATGGACACCAACGTTCTGGGATTCAAAATCTCTCCAGCATCCATGTCTACGTTCGAGATTCTCACCGTCATCCTTATGGTTCCCATCTACGACCGGATCCTCATCAAGCTGGCTCGCAGAGTCTCTGGCCATCCTCAAGGATTTACGCAGCTCCAGAGAATGGGTATAGGCCTGGCGATTGGTATACTCTCCATGGTGGTGGCCTCGGCCACGGAGAGCAAGAGGCTGGAGCTAGCGAGAACGCACAAGCTGGTGGACGACGCTGTTAAGCCAGTTCCGATGACCATCGTTTGGCAGCTCCCACAGATCGTCATACTGGGAATCGCCGAGACTTTCACGTACATTGGTCAGCTGGAATTCTTCTACGAGCAGGCCCCAGATTCGATGAGAAGCTTGGGAACAGCAGTGGCGCTCACGACATTTGGACTCGGGAATTATCTCAATGGGTTTCTGATCATGGTGGTGAGCAGGGTGACGAGCAATGGTGGCAGTAGCCCCGGATGGATCCCGGACAACTTAAACCTCGGCCACCTCAACTTCTACTATGATCTTCTGGCGTTCCTGAGTGCGTGCAACTTGGTGTGGTATTTGATCTTTGCGAAGGCTTTCAAGTACAGAGAAAGCAGTGGCAGGACTTCGTGCTTGTTGCACTAATAATGAAGATATTGAAATGTTAATTCCTAAAGATATTCTCCTTTTTATACTGTTTTGACTCATAAATCCATCTCTTTCGTTCTGTAGAAAACTGAGTATAAATGCGTTGCACAGTCGGTCGCATTCTTAAACATTCTCTTTTAGGATACCACAGACTTACGTTTAGGTAATCCATTTAACCCCAAACAATCAAGTTGTGATGTTGTTGCATGAAAAACTAACTTGGAGTGGATGATGCCTTGGCTGTGTATGCTACTCGAATGGTGCCACTATAACTCTCTACAATGGATCCCCTCTAGTTTGTAGCTTTGCTAATTTTATTTAGGCAAGAGTATTACATGTTTGTTTTTTTCTTGAGCTATCTTTTAACAAGACTCAGAGGAGTTGTAGTCAGACATTGGAAGACATTTGAAATAGGTACACTGACCCTGAGAGTGTCGAAGACTTTGGAGGCCACAACCAATTGGGTGTTCAAGGTATGTGTATAGAAAAGAGTGGATTACTTCTACAAGATGTACCAGGGCCAAAGGTACTGAGTTGATTGCACCAAACTTGAGTTCTTTCTATATATGTAACATATCAAAGTATGCAGGGAAAAAGAGTAGACTAAGGCAACTCACAAAGGATGTTTGTTACGATCTAGTGCTAAAAGAAGATTTAGACTCCTCTTGAAGTTCTTCACCCCTCAACCACCCCCAAATTACCTAAAAAACTCCACTTCCATTTACCCTTAAGCTTCCTTTTGACCTATGTTGACCCTGGTGCCTAACAATTCTCCCCCCACAAAACAAAATCCTAGATGAGTTGTATTAGTGATTATTTTTTTTGGGGAACTTTTCTCAAACTTTTAATCCATCCTCCACAACCATATATATTAAGGAGGCATTGGGATTTTTACTTCAATATAGTGCATCTTTCAATTGGCTAATATAAAATACCAAATGAATTTTTACTTTAGCTGGCAATTGTATCCAATACGTTGTCTTGCCAATTCACTCCAACACTTCATATGGATCAATATATCTACAAGAAAGCTTATCACTTTTCCCATTTTGCAAAGGTACTAATGTGTTCTGCCGCTCACTTGACAAAAAAATCACTTACACAAAGATGATATGTCTTACTTTATATTCCTAGAATTGATGATGCTCAATAGAAAATTCCTTAAACTTCATGAGTTTAACTATAATATTATAATATAATGATATCCACTCCTTAAATCAATCTTGGTAAACACTTATACTTCACTAAGCTTAATAATCCTTCATTGTCTTTTTGTTCAACACATAATAGTTAATATATATCTTTATTGAATTATCTTTCTTCCTCACAAGCAAGACTGGGGCATTAATGTCATCAGGCATTAAATTTTTAAGTGTTATTTCCCTTTGTATCACATATGATTATGGGATGAAATTTGAATATACTATTATTGTGGATCATTGGAACCTTGAGGAATACATAGGGATAAAATAGCCACTAAAGGCTCTCTTATCAAGCAATTGCCTCTTTTCCAGTTGGTCTAAGGGGAGAGAAATAGAGTGTGTTATACCCTTGCTGGAAATGTTGAAATTCTATGCGAGTATTCTCCATATTGTAGTGAGGGGCAAAACATAAATAAAAAACAACCTCAAACTCATTATGGTAGACACTGGTGGTTTTTTGTTTACAATACAAGACTCCTCAAATCAATTCCACCATCAAAGACCTATATAATGCAAAATCATTAGAATAGCCACTAAAGCCTCTTTTTGTTATTTATATTGTAAGTGTGATATTTTCCAATATGTAAGTTGGATTTTGAGTGCATTTTAGATGCTATAGGCTAATTTAGAGTTTCCCTAGAACTTCACATTGGCCAAGAACTTCTTCACATTGGCTAACCAAACTATATATTCATCCACACCACTCTTATTGGAAAAAGTTAGAATCTTGAGTTGATCCACTAAAAAAG